CAGGTGGTCGAAATTTCCGGAGCCCTCCACTACGGCGTCTCTCATAATCATGTAGTGGTTTTGGGACGTTAAACCCCACAAATCAATCAATCAATCAAAGCAACCGTTAGCTTGCGCCCTTATCTGTAAGCTATTTGTTATAGCGTTGAAATGGTCGACAATCCTCCCTGGTAGATGCTCATTTCACTTACGAGGAGCAACACACTTACCAGAACGCGGTTCTATAGAAAGACGACACGCAGAGTCACACGTGTACACATATTGATTTTTGATTGATGTGTGGGGTTTAACGTCCCAAAACCACCTTATATGATTATTCAAAAATGAGTCAAACATATTAATATGCGTGTTGAAGGAAGCTAACTTGCCAAAATCAATCCAGCGTCCCCAAGTTCGGCTGGCCGCGTAGTCATATGGCGGTGCTACAACGCAAAAGCCGTAATTCCATCATCTCCGCCATAAGCCTGGCTACGGCAACTACATGTTTCGCCATTAAGCCCTGACATGTGTCTGATGCATTCACATTACGCCACAGACTTCTTAATGTCATCTGCCCACCCAACTTCCCGCTTCCCCCATCGCGCGTTTGTCTTCTCCTGGAATCGATTCCGTTAATCTTAGTGACCAGCGGTTTTGCCTTCTCTCGGTGTGCCCCGACATATGAATAAGTAAAATGTAATTAATTCTTGAGCGTATTACAATGGGTAAATCACGTTTCTCAACAAGAGCTTAATTTGGGCAAGTTGGTTCATCGTGTTTGTGTTCCAGTAACAGCGCGACAACTTCAGGAAGAGACAAAAAGGACAGGAAAGAGCGCTGACTGTCAACTGAAGTTTATTGAAGGTGCTACGAGCGCTTTTATACAGAGTACAAAAACAGTGCTCATGCACGGCGACGCATGTGTGACCATGATAATATAATCTTGGCCCGCCGCGGTGGTCTAGTGGCTAAGGTACTCGGCTGCTGACCCGCAGGTCGCGGGTTCGAATCCCGGCTGTGGCGGCTGCATTTCCGATGGAGGCGGAAATGTTGTAGGCCCGTGTGCTCAGATTTGGGTGCACGTTAAAGAACCCCAGGTGGTCGAAATTTCCGGAGCCCTCCACTACGGCGTCTCTCATAATCATATGGTGGTTTTGGGACGTTAAACCCCACATATCATCATCATGATAATATAATCTTAACTGAGAAAAGAATACGCTCTCTCAGAAAGGATAAATGAAGGTGTACTGATGCATTGATCCTTGGCCTAGCTTCCTGATAAAAAATGCTTCTAAAGTCTCTTTCATTTTCTGTTCTTGCTTTTTTTTTCAAAAACTATGTTTTATGAAACATAGGACTGCACTTACATTCTTTACAGCGTACGGCCATGAGATTACCATAGCCATTCTTAACATTGAACGCATGCTGTCTTGCTCGATCATTGAAGCATTTCCCCGTTTGTCCTATGTTTACTTTTCCACATATCAACGGTACCTCATACACAACATTACATTCAGTAAACCTATTCTCGTGACGGATGGTGCAAGATTGACTATTCCTGTTGCTGTTTAGTACAAACACTTTTGAAAGCTTGCAAGGGGTGGAAAACAACAAGTTATTGATTGATTTGTGAAGTTTAACGTCCCAAAACCACCATATGATTATGAGAGACGCCGTAGTGGAGGGCTCCGGAAATTTTGACCACCTGGGGTTCTTTAACGTGCACCCAAATCTGAGTACACGGGCCTAGAACATTTCCGCCTCCATCGGAAATGCAGCCGCCACAGCCGGGATTCGAACCCGCGACCTGCGGGTCAGCAGCCGAGTACCTTAGCCACTAGACCACCGTGGCGGGGCAAAACAACAAGCTAATTTCATGGCTACTCGCTATTTTCTTCAAATTGTGAGACACCTCATTTACGTAAGGTATAACATGCAAAGGTCTTTGGCCATTCTGTTTTTCTCTCGGTCCTGTTTTGTTTATCTTAACTTTCTGCAGGAGGATTTCGCAAACGGGTGTGATGATGCTTTTAGGATACCCAGCGTCTCTTAGTTTTTTAATTTGGTTTTTAAGGCTGTCTTCCCCCTTGTGCTCACATGACTTTGAGGGATGGCCTGAATACACGTAGTGGCGATTCTTCTTTTTACTAATTTTGAATGCCCACTGTCAAAAGGCAGAACATTCTTAGCACTCCCGGGCTAATGGCACCAGCAAGTATGGGCATTATCAGAAAAAGAAAGGTGAATGTCTAAAAACTGGATGCCGTTGTCTTTTGGCAATTAAAATGTTAATTTGAGCCCTCAGGAGTGCTCTTTGAAGAAGGTGATCACGGCCTCAACGTTGTCATTAAAACACATTTGTCCAGTTTTTTTTTTAATTTCTACGAGCCCGAGGTAATCGTCAACATAGCGATACACTCTGAGTACAGGTATATATGCAAGGTTAGCAGAAAGGCTTTTGTCAATAACAGAGGCGTGTCCTAAAGATTTCACAAAGAAGTGGGGTCAATGATGAACCTATACATATGCCAGTGCGTTGGATTAAGAATTGACCATCGTACTTGATGGTAGTCGAATTGACATAAAATTCTAAAAGCGTTATAAAATTGTCAGAGTTCATGCCCATAATATTCGAAAAATGCACATCCTGTTCTTCAAAAGATTTCTTCACAGCAAAAAATATGGTCATCACAAGGAACAGAGTAATACAGGTCCACAACGTCAACTGAAAATCCCACCACATTGCAGCGAAAACCTTCCCGCAGTTTCTGAACCAAATCGGAGGAGCTTCTTATGAGAAAGGGATCTTGAAAAATCAATTTTTTTTTCAAATTGTCCTGAAGAAACCTTCCTACATGTCGCTGCCATGACGTTCTCTTTGAAACGATTACTCTGAAAGGATGCTCAGGCTTGTGCGTCTTGCAGGTGGAAAAGGCCTCCAAGAAACCTCTTTGGGACTTGCCTGCTAACCTGAAAAAAGTTAGTAGGCAAGTCCGAAGGAGGTTACTTGGAGGCCTTTTTCGCCTGCAAGACGCACGTCACGCGCGCCTCATGGGCTTGAACGTTGTACTTTTTTTTTCTTCGAATAAGCGGTTTTTCGTGTGATCGCGCGCAAAGTTGCAGCCTCCCGCTGCGGCCACAGTAACGACCGCGCGCCATGTTGAAATCAGCCAATAGCTGGTACAACGGCTGTGACGAGTGATTTTTTATCATGTTCAGACATCTGTCGAGAGAAGAGAAGGCAACTTTTAGCTGACTTTGAAATTTACTGTCAATTCCAGGTCCGTTGCTGCGCTATAATGTCTGGCTCGCGTGTCCTCGGAAGCCTTGACTACCGATCAGCAGCGCTTTCTGACCATGTTCGAAAAGCGTTCTTACGATATATGTGTGTGACCAGAGTCATTCAATACTTTTAAATGAGACTGGTGCGACTAACCAGCTCGATGTTAGGTATTGTCCAAGAAACCATGGGCATAGCCAGGGGATGGAGCTTTACTCTCCTCCTCCCCGATTTTTTTTTAAATTTTGCTTGTGTATATACAAACGCGCACATACAAACGCACGCACGCAGGAACATACCTCCCCCCCCCCCCCCCCCAAAAAAAACGTTTCCGGCTACACCCTTACAATGAACGCATCTTCGCGAGTGGCGTTAATTATCGTGAAACCACGAAGGAGTAAGTCCACTTAGATCCAGATTCAGGTCAAATAACGTAGGGCACCCAGATCACGAGAATGAGACCCGCTGTATGAAGAAAACGAGTTACATTAGCATGTTTTCTAGGCAATCCAAAGGCGAATGATAAGCAACAGATACACTCGGCAGGAAAGGAATTAGCGCGCCGACCTACGGGAAAGATGAATAAGAAGGATAACAAAGGAAGAGGAATAACAAAGAAACTCCAGTAGATAAGGACTGCGCAGAGAAATGGTGGAACTCGCTATGATATCCATGACGCTAGGAGGCTACGGGACCTGAGCGTGGATCGGATTAGATAGAAAATGCGGTTAGTAGTCATTCGTCTTGTCAATAGAAAGGTGGATAAGTTACGGCCGAACAAATTGATAAAACACAAAAGAAAGGAACAGTACAAACTGTTGTAGCAACTGAAAATTTATTTGAAAGAAGGCATATATATATATATATATATATATATATATATATATATATATATATATATATATATATATATATATATATATATATATATATATATATATATATCATCAACGCTAAATCAAATTTTTTCCTCAATTTTTTGTTTTATCATGAATCAAGTGGAGAGCGGAAGGGGGGTAGGTGTTCGTTGAAAGGTGCTCCAGCGGGTTATGCAGCCCGCAGGCTCGATACAGCCTCGAAAAACACCATGTAGTTTTGGTCAAGTAGGTTGCTAAATGTGTACGACAGACCGCGGTAGCGATGAATGAACGGGTGATAAGATAAGCGGCGGCTTTATTAATGAACGTGTGATCGTGAAAGTGAGCGCTCGATAATAACAGTGACCAAGCGGTAACAGTACGTGAAGTCGTGATGAACTAGGTTTGTTTGGTCAGTCAGTCCAACCGTCGATTAGTTAGTTAGCTAGTCAGACATTCTGTCCTTTAGTTATTTGGACATTTATTCAGTTAGTTAATTAATAGGCCAGTTAGATAGATAGTCAGCCAGTCAGTTACCTGTTGGGTTAGGGAGCCTTATGATCGGTTCGGTTCGTTGATTAGTGAGTGAGTGAGTCGGTTAGCCCGTGAGTCTCTAAAATTAGTAAGATTAAAAAGATACCAAGTAATTCATTACATAAATACAAAATCAAACGAAACTGTCAGCGCACCATCCAGCAGAGGTGTGTAGAAATTTTCCGCCATCTATGAGCAGTGTTCGCAGTTTCGTGCAGCTTAAAAGGCGCCGTACGTCTGGGCAAGCGAAACAAAGTAGAGCATAAACAACCGAAGCAAGAACGCCGTAACATCAAAGCGCCCTGATACAGGGAAAAAAGAATGAAAAAGAAAGAAACGTGCGAACTCACACGCCGCGAGGTGAAGTAGCACCGTAAGAAGAACGCAGGTGGTCGTGGCGGACGCCATTCTGTGTTGCGTCTACAGCTGCTCCACGGGTTGTACACCACTCAGTGAAGCAGTGAATGGGCGGTATTGGTACGGGCTGTAGATACTACAGTGACACAAAGGGAGACTCCAAGATGAAAAGAAACGCCCATCAACCGTCGAAGAGCGAGCGGCGAAATGTGCCGAGGTGTTAGCGCAGCTTCGAGACTTATCGTACGCTGGAAACGGGATCGCGCATTACACGCCCCGCCACAGAGATAAGCGGCACGTAGGCATTGTTTCTGAGACGATAACGGCCTGGAATGCCCCCCCCCCCCTTTCTGCTCCGTCATCACTCTTTATCTCGGTGGTGTAACGCTTTCTCATGTAACCCAGTTTTTTTTAATGTTCTTTATGTTTTTGTGTTCCCTCGTGAATAGCGTTGGTGTAAGGATGAAGGCGTCCCTCCCACGATCTCCAATTACAGCCGCTTTTCGCGCCATATCAGACACCTATCTCTTGTCGCAGACTTTCCTTATTTCATCATTTTTTTTTCTTCAGGCGAACCGTCTTCGTCTACTAGGTGCTGCTACCGTCGTCGTCATCATCTAGCAGCAGTAGCAGTAGTATCAGGGGTTTTTCATGGCAAAGCCATGATACGATTATGAGGGACGCCGTGATGTACAGCTCCTCATATTTCGACCACCTGGGATTCTTCGAGCGTCTCTTTTTAGCGCGCCAAGCTTCTGCGCGTGTCGCACACGCTCCTGCTTCCGGGAAACACACTGAGTCGCCTGCGCCCTCTGCCACGCCTATTCTCAATTTCCTCGGAGCTTGCCGCCAGATCCAGCCACGGCGTTGTCGTCGCTCTGCAAACTTGAGCTTTGCACACAAACGCGAGCACAAGGGTCACGCGCTGTATACTAACTATGGTCATGCGTGCGTGTATGCATGTTCTGACAGCCAAGGTTCTGGCCCTCACCGACGCCGGGGTGTCCGTCTCCTTCCACTGACTGCCCTCCCACGTGGGCATCGCTGGAAACGAGAAGGCGGACACACTCGCCAAGGCTGCCCACCAGCCTGGTACTCCCTACTCCTGTGCCGTGGCGGCCAGGGACTATTCACAGGCCCGTCTCAAGAGGCTCCTCGTCACAGTCCACCCAGACACGAGGTTGGCCAGCGGGCGAGGACCAAAGCCTCTTCCAGAGACGGGCCTCACCAGGAGAGAACGGGCCTCCCTGTTGCGACTGCGGACCGGCTGCGTGTGGACAGCGGCCACGCCAAGGGCCTCTGTCCCTCCCCGGCCTGCAGCCGTTGCGGAGACCCAGAGACCCTCGAACACCTCCTCTGTGCCTGCCCTGGCTTAGCACAGGAACGCTTGAGGACCTACACGGCCTACAGGAGACAGGGTCTGCCCGTCTCCACCCTGGAACACCTGCTGTTCCCGTCTCGTCCACATCCAGCAGCACTCCGCAGCCTGGCGGAGTTCGTGGAGGAGTCAGGAATTGCTGCCTACCGCTGGTCCCAGGAGCCATGCTGCCCTTGCCGACGGCCTGCTGCTCGCGCTGAAGCGGAACGGACATCCCTTCTTACACACCACACACTATTTCTCCTATCCTCTTTTATCCCCCTCCACCCCACTCCAAAGGCAATGCACCGTGTCGCCTGTAGGCCGACAGAAATTAGGTGCCTTCTTCCTTTTCCTCATGAACCACTAACAACATGCATGTTTCTTCCTGTGTAAATATATCATGTCCGTGCATTTGTAGCGTGTGTAGTACGCGTCCATATGCCTGCTTTGAGTATCAACTACTGCCAACACGAACACTAGAGTGTTCGGAAGCACATGATATTATTCATTAGAAACCTAACAACATAGATCGGTGAACGAAAAGAATGGGGAACTTCTATTACGATTCAAACAACAATTTCCCTCATCTCAAGATACACGGGCCCAGGCATAGCTCCGTTCTGTAATCAAATGAATGGCACGCGTATTCAGCTTTTGACCGGGCAACGGAACTCAACGGCACGCATGCGATAGGGGTGGCATTCGAAATGCCGAAAATCAAAAAGCCGAACTATTGGAATGCCGAAATTTAAAACACCGGAAAATCAAAATGCCATAAGTATAAAAAGCCGAAAGTTTAAAATGCCGAAAAATCAAAACACCAAAGCATCAAAACGCCGAAGCATTAAAATATCAACATCACCAATCTATAGTGGAAGATAATGTATCATATCAAGGTAAAAGTTCCGCTGGCTTTGTAGGACATGCATGCGCTTTTGCCCTCGTTTCCAGGTTCCTATCGCATATGGTTCAGCCCTTTGGTCGTAGAACCATTACAGCTAACAAAAGGAAGCACATGATCATGGAGATTGAATTGAATTGGGGAGATTGAATTGAAGTTTATTTCTTTCTGATACAGAAAGAGGACTAAGAGCTAAAGGCCGTATTGCCTGACAGAGGCTCCTACTCCATTGCGCATTCGGCAAACATGAGATAAACATGAATTTCGTAAATCCATTCGAAGAGCAGCGACACAGTCTTCAATGTTCCATCCATGAGCCACATTAGTGCGTCGTTATGTTTTCACATGTTTTCGTCCATGAAATAAATGAGGAGTCGAGCTTCATCGCAGGCGCAGTCCCGTTCCAGAAACAAGAGGCCATCCAAGGTTGTTCAGTACTCGCCTTCGATGACGAGCTCCTGCACGGCAGTCGGCTCATGTAGGCAGTCCGTTCTCATTTTCCTTCTAACAACCTGGCACAAGGCTTCATCACTCGGGTGTTGGCTTGAAGATGCTTGTACATTTGCCGTAACTTGCTGCCCAAGCTTCATGGGAACCTTGCCCGAGACTACCGCCAGAGCTATGATCCGCAACTGAGTGCGAAGAACTGTCGCTCTAAAGACATCCGCAGCATGGCATGCGGGGACCGCTTTCTTTCGAGACGACCTTGTGAGTACCTTTTCCAGGATTTGTCGGTAATCATTGTGGCATTACATTCGCCTCGCCTCTCGCACTTCCAGTAGTGTATGGAATGTACTTTTTTGTCAAGCACGTGCACATAACAGTATTTGCATGAAAGTTTTGTTTTTCTTCTGGGAGCACGCCACAACAGTGTCTTCTTCCGTTTCCATGGAAATAGCAACAACTTCACATCGCTGCTGCTTTTGCACTCTGAACGCTGGATAGCACTACTATTTTTTGTCTGCTTACTCATGAGAGCTATCCTGTCCAACTGATATTCCTACAGCTTCACGACCGTTAAAAATTTTACATCGCTTTAATATGCTGGTATTGGTACATTTGCAGAACAAGTTAAACAGCTAGGTCAGGGGACAGTGACACGGCGGAAAACGAACAAGTGGTAGTCACAAAGCGTGTCATTTATTTTTCAAAAGTTGCTGCATGTGGTTTCGGCGTTGTCTCTTAGGTGTTCAGATTTTTCGGCATTTCACTGTTTCGGCAAAGTTTCAATTTTTCGTCGTTCTGACGTTCAACCTTTTGATTTTTTGATAGGGACTTATGCAATCAACAGTACGAGTTGCAGCGTAGTTACCTCGAAGACTGATAATGCCTTGCCTGTAGGAGTGTATCAATGTAGCACAAGAGTGCTAGCACCTTTCGGATAGGCCCGCTACACATGAGAAGTTGCCACTTTCAACCTAGGGTTCTCTAAACAGGTTCTTCGACTTGAATTCTGATGCGGTTCGGCGAAAGGGCTTGATGTTTACGCACAGAGCACAACAATATCCGCTGTTTCACCAGTGAAATATTTTGTGCCGATGAGAATGAGGTGGTCCGCGGCAAGCACCATAGCGAAAGTACCGCATTCTAGCACACTATAACACCGCGTTGACCCTGTTAAGCGCAGCTTTGTTTTTTCGACCAGTGTTGCCAGCACTCGAAGCATTTTATAGTGGCGAATAGATGCGTGAAGGACACAATTAGACCCTTTTCTTTTTATAAAGAATGCTTCTAACAGCTCGCTTGCCAGTGGCGTACCAACTTTTTCGCGAGTGGGGGGGGGGGGGGGGCTGACCTACCTCATCGTCAGCCGGGATATATATATTGTGATGAGCGAGACAGAGAACAAGAGACAACACCCGATCTTGGGCCAGCTGTTCTTATTCTGACTTTGTTCTTCTCTTCTTTGCTCTGGCTACCAGCGCGCCGAAGCGCCAGCGTCTCTCTTGGTCATGACACTCGGCCATGACTGCGCGCGCGCGGATCTGGCGGCAAAGTTTCTGGTGGGTGGGCTTGGCTGCATCGTGGTGGTCAGCCCGGACCACAATGCAACATGGAGCAACGGTCTGGGGGAAGCGTCTCTGGTGGACGGCACTGGCTGCCTCGAGCTGGTCGCTCTTTTTTGTACGCCACGATGTTTCTTGAAAAAGTGCTGTGGACTCAGGCGGCCGGCACTGGCTGCCCCGTTGCGGCCGACGCTCTCGGCCGTGCCGCGATTTGGTCACGGTATCCCAAAAGTAGATCTGGCGGTCGATATACTGGCTGCATCTCGGAGATCGGCCTTGGCCACGCTGAAATTGGGTGCCAGAGCCTTCCACAAGTCTATCGGGAGGTCGAGACTTGCTGCATCGTTATGGTCGGTCTCGGCCATGCAGAGACTCTCTGTGGGAAGCAGCTAAACATGCACCTGACAGCGCGCTTCGGAGGGGCCGCAAAATCAGCGGCAGACGTTGAACTCCGGACGAGGATAGCCGAAAGTGTATCCCAAAAGACGCGCTGGGTACCTTGGCTTGTGTCGCGAATGGGTACGGAACTTCTGAGATGTGTGGCAGAGAACATAATTTACGGCCGGTTTTGGCATCTGCGGCAGGACATTTTGGGAAGCTGTCATCGTATTGGCTGCGGTCTGCATCTTGAGCACCAACTTTCTCCTCATGATATTGGTCAGTGAGACCATCAGTGGTTACCTTGGGCTCTACCGGCACCATGACCGTAGGCGGCTCAAGCATAGGCGATGCTGGTGTCTCCACTTGCCTCAGTAAAGGTGGTATTGGGGCTGGCTTCTCTAACTGAGCTGTATGAGGACTGGTATTAGCCTCTTCCACTGACATGATGGCGTCGCGTACTGGCGCGGGTACTGAGAGCAGCAGTGGCGTGTCGCGCCTGCGTCTGACGTCATTCGTAGGACAGGCGGAGAAGCTTTCTGCCGCGCGGCTGAAGGGCTCCGAGGAACCTTCGA